CTCAGTCATTCATGAATGTAAATGCTTGAAAAAGGTCATATACATGTATTAGGGACTCACCAGCCAGTCGAATCTTTGGCTTTTATCAAGATTGTTTCCTTCTTAGTCTGTCTTTGAGATCGCTCTGTCACTGAAGTCCAGTACAACAACAAAGCCATCCTGGCCCATGGTTTCCCTCTTTTGACAAACTATAAAAGAAGTTCTTCAAAACTGTCCATTTCAAAGACATTTCTCATACAAGATCTGCAGAAACTGACAGTGACAAGACCTCCACTGTGTGGGCAAAAACCCTCAGTGACAACGTGGCCCAAGTCAGATTTTCGTCAGCCTCTGAATGTATACAATATACATATATGTGTTCCTCATCTGTGATGTCTGCACTTGCTACATTTTGATTTCATCGTCACATTTGATTGAAAGTTACCCTATGAGAGTCCTGCACTTTTTTTAAAAGAAGATTTACAGTGTAAGACTACATGTACATGTATGTACAAAGTACCCTTGCTATTTACCCTCAACATTTAGTGACTGAAAGGTCATGGTTTAGGCCTAGATGCCTTTTGGGTTTCCACCCACAGATGTGGTCTTTGGTTTGCTGCATCTATCAAGGAGTGCTCTTCTCTCAGCACCCAATTTACAGACTGTTTCTCAGCGCTGTAAAACTTAAATGCACGCATTCATTTCAGCCATTATCCGAGCTGTACCCTGTGATTTATCAGTGGTGCTGTTGGAGAGAGAAAGAATGATGTGCCAAAGATAACACTTCCTTGGTTGCCACAAAAGGGACGCAGCATGTACATAGTACCCCACACTGACTGATGATGTCAAAGCTTTAGCCGTCATTCCAGCCAAAGCAAAACAGCTCTAACGAGTTAATTATAGTCAGGATGGAGATGGCTCAAGATAAACCCGAGAGCATGGGTCTTAGGAAAAGATCAAGGTTGACGAAGCAGTCATTTCCTCAAAAAGTTGTACAAACAACCTTTACGTGCACAGTACCGGCATGCTGCAACCTATGAAAGCCTCCTGCACAGGAGCACATTGGCAAATTTGATGGATTCGTATGCACGCACACGGGCATTTGTAGATGCGTAATGTGACACTGATGCTTACGCTAGCATCATTGACAAGGCAGAAAAGGGTTGGAAAATGTGACATGGTGCCTGGTACACCGTGAGAGTAATCATTCTACCAGAATGTACAAATAAACCCAACAAGCTGGTTGCATTATTGAACTTTGGCCCTGCAAGTCCATCTGCTAGCACTTGTGCCAGAAAGTTAAAAGTTGTGATCAGTCACTGGTCTGCCTTCATTGTTTCGATCTGGCTGTTGCATTAACCTCGATTTGCCTGAACAAGTTAAGTGTTTAAAGTATCAATTCTCACCTCTAATGAGAAACCGTGCAGCTTGCGGATGTGTATTAACCTTTTCTTAGCAAATTTACACAGATGTACCAAAGCCAATGCTAAAAGCAAGTGGCAGTTCTTCAAAAGCCATAACTTATATTACATGTCCCAGTTTTGCATCATTGCAAGGTGCTTTCTTTATCTTCTGTTTAGTTTTTAATTTTCAGCTGATCACTAATAAAATGTTTGGAAGTCTCCTTTGTACAAAGTACTCCCGCCAAATCTTTAACAAACAGTTGAAACTTCAAGGATCTTGTGTCTGAATACTATCAAAATGAGTCCCCACTGTCTTGGGAAACCCTTACCCATTTGGTTTGTTTTTTTCACAGCCGTCAAAAAGGCTTTAAGTTCATTGTGTCTAGACTGTCTGTGTTCTCAGAACAAGTTGAACAAATCCATGATTTCCTGGAGTGAGGTGAACTTGTCCTTTGTGTACAAGAGTTAATGTGGCTAGTTCATATCAAGAAAATGACTAAGGAGTACTAACGGCATAAGTGACCCCAGCCAACCGCTTCCTACTGGCATGCTTAGACGAATGCATTCTCAAATGTGATGCTGTCCATTTGCCCTGTCTCTCGTGCTTGTTGCTGGGTTGCTGTACCTGTACAGTACATATCAGTGTACATGTAGATATCCAGGAACTTTATAATCAGCCTAGCTGGGTTCCTACATCTATCGTCTTGGAACCGATGCAGCTGATTTTTTTTGGTCCGTTTTGAGAGGACCAAGTGAAAGTAGGTGACCGATAAAAAAAATAGTTTGTCAATGCAGTACAATCAGTGTAATCCCCGGTCAAATTCTGCCCTTTTTTTGTTAGGCCCCCAAGTATACACCCTAAACCAGAATGATAACCAGGAAGTCAAAAGCACTTAGTGAAAATGAAAGTACATTTACCAGTACATGTACATGGAGCTGGATAGGCCTATGCATCATCAGGTACACATGACACTGGTATCGTTCACACTTTCATTCATCTTCTGCACTGAATGTCTGGTTGAGAAGCTCCTCTGTCATCTTTTGGATTTCTCGCTGAAAGAAGCATTTGGCATTTGGATGAGCTCCCTGAAAGTGCTTTAGTGTCACTGTGCCGTGTACTTGCCTTTTGACTTTTTACTCGTACTGTACTTACAGTGTAGGCCTACTTCGACCGAGTGAATGGTTCATTTTTAGTGCCAGTTTGGCCATTATGCAATAGAGAAATGGTACAGATGGGAAAAACTTAAGCCCAACATAGGAAATTGGCTGTAAGCATCCTACATGTACCACCAATACCAGTACGCTCACTATGGGTTCTCAATACTAGCAGCTTGACTTCCACCCAACCAACCCCATGAAAAACAAGTTATATGGTGTCAGCCCCCTTTCAGCCTTGTGCATCAACAGTAGTGTTAAGAGAGCAAGGACCCATTGATATATAATGTGTTTTCCTACTCAGTGAGGGGATAAAATAATTCTGAATCATTATGGATGGTGAATCTATGCATGTACAACAATGGACATGTAAGTGTACATCGTACCGTATTGTGACAACAGGTCGCATGGTACCGTATCTCTGCTTATCCTTTAGATGCTGCTTCTGCCGGCCTTCAGCATGCACTGCTTTCTGCTTGCTGTGAACCCTGCAGGTGTAAATAACTGAACGTGACGTGTGTAACAAAGAAAAGATGAGGTCCCTTGTAGCTTCCGTGGCACTTTCTCAGTTGGCACGGGAAGCAATTTGAACCCAGGCGTGATCAAACACAAGAAATGCTAGTGACGTCTTGGCGGGGGAACATTGGCAAAGATGTTCTTTGTTTGCCCGTTTGGGGTTTCAAAGCCTGGTTGATCACTGTGGAATAGGTTGTACGTATGTAAATTCTTTTACATTGTACTCTGCCTTAAATACTGACGTTCATATTGGGTTTAGTGAGGTCAGCTGCCATTTTTTTTCTATCAAGTACATGTTAGAAATGTTGAATTTTGATTTGTAGTTTCCAGACCGGTTCATTTTTCAAAAAGAAAACTGTAATGTCCTCTGTAGAAGGGAAATCTATATTTGCACAGTATTTGAAACTTTGTTGCTCAGAGCCATCTGGTTTTGATGAAACATACTGGTACAAGTTTAAGAATGAGCAACCCTTTGATAATGCACAGAATTCTCAATTTGGTCAGGTACTGGTTCGTGTAATGCACACCAAAAAAAAGGTAAGAAATATCGAATAGTTTGTAACATTTCTCTAAGTCTTCCTGCAAGATTTGTCTTTTCAATTAGCAATGTGACTTCTACTGTAGTCTTGATAACTCTTCTAATTGTAAAACAGGCAGAAGGTACATGTACAGTATTCTGTTATGGTAAAATGCAGCCTCCATTTCCTATGCTTGTACTAGTAGCACAATAATGCCTTTTCTACCATGATCCCACACTCCGGTGCACTTCTTCTCAAGCACAGAAGGAATTGTGGGTTTGTCCAGATTCAGTTGAAAATCGATCATATCAACCTTTGAATGGGGCACACAGTGTTATATCTAAATTAACATGTGACCATGTAGCTTCACCCAATCCATACATTTACCAGTAACACTGTTTCTTGTGTGACTTTAAAGGACAGCTGCCTTGAAGTCTCCATAGAGACATTGTTTGCACGCCTCTGGTCATTCATCCATGCTTGTAGCATTGGCTAGCTTTTAATCAAAAGCCCTTCCTTCTCTATGAAATTGTAAGGGACAAGCTAGACACCCTCCCCTCTGCGCAGGCATAGCAGTGTGTTTGGGCAGATGAGCACCACTGGAAAAACGAGACAGACAAAAAGAGAGAAACACAAAAAAAGCTGAGCTACAGAAACAGTGACAATGATCAAACTTCAGAGACTTCTTTATAGTCCAAGCTGGAATAATCCCCTCATTTAAGGCTCTACCTCCAATCAGTCACTCTTGGAAACGAAACCCTTACTGACGTCAAATGCTTATGCAGTTGCTGCCATCCATCAAGCAGTGTGTGAGAGCCAGGCTTAAGGTCGGTCTCGTTGTGCAAAACCAATTTGCTGTGGTGCAGTTAATGGTATATGTTTGTATCTATATCATACATGTAGGACGGTTGTGATCTGAAGCTTGTGTGCATCACCTGTGTTCATATCAACTCCTGAAATCCCACAAGAATTTGATTTTTCACTGCCTGAAAAGTTTTCAGAGTTCAGGAGAGAGTACAATGTGGCTGCATCAGTTGTCATAAGTTTTTTTCAATCTTTGCTCAATTTGTGCTCATTAAGCACATTCTTAAAAGGGACCGCAAGTGGACATATCGTCTTACACTAGTATGCAGGAAAAAAACTAAGCATTCGACTAGAAGGAAGAGTTTACTGGTAGCTTAATAAGTAGAAGAGAAGTGCTCATAATTTCCTCAAGAACATACATCGACTTTTTCATTTAAATGCAGCTTTAATGCTAGTCTTGAAAACATGGGAAAATGTCTTTTTGGCCTATTCCACTTTGGAATGGATTCTTAAAACTTCTATGTTAAAATATTTTGATATCACGTCACAATTATATTCACAAGACAAAGCATTCTTTGCAATTTTTCAATATTGGTTTCATTGTTCCCCGTTGTCATTTTTGTAGAGTTCCCACTGAGTGTCACCTGACAGCTTTGGTTTGAACCTCCAGGGTCCAATAAGTCTGCTCGTCTGAAACGGGATCTGCACACAGGTAAGCATAGAGGCAGTCTCAACAGGGATTAATCCTGCTCACCAAATGAGAATTTTGCAAGTGACATATAATGGTTGAGAATGGTTTGACAGGTTCACGTACAGGTGGGCGACCATGTGATTTTGAAGGCATGAAGAGGTCTCTACAACTTTAAGTCTTCAGACTTAAATAGGATTGGCCATGGAAGTACTGTTACTGTATGTACTGCATGAGTCGGTCCAGTGGACGCATTAGAAAACAGTTCAAGTAACTTGACTTTTAACTCGGGTGTCTTGAGACTTGACATATTTTTTTTAGGTGGGGAAAGGGTTGGTTGTGATACTTCAAACTACGTTTGCCCATGTTGGGAACTCATGACACATTGGGAACTCGTGAAGTGCTAGTGTACATGTGCCTTGATGTACATGTACTGTATGTATACCAAGATCTGTTTGCTGGCATTGTAGGTGGCCTACAACAGGTGGCCCCTAAGTGCACTTTTCTCATCCAGCATCCTAGATTTGTTGAACATCCTGCTGATGAAGCATCCAGATGTCCAAATTGAACAGTTGATTCTTTGTACCCTAAAGCACAGTATGTGGCATACTCACAAGAGCCACTCAGCTAAGTCAATCCTCACTTGAGAATGGTGGTATGCAGTGGGGAAACCAATGTTCATCTGAATGCGCACAAACTGACAGCGCAGTCATGTGACACTGACGGGAATGCATATATTACTCTGGCCACACATTGGGAACTGATCCATCTTTACAGTCTCACAGCAGTGTTCTGCATTTTTTTTTTTCACCACTGGTACCGGGACACATACTTTGTGATAGGAACTGGCAATTTTGAATGTAGTACCTGTACGGTTCCACTGGAACCCACCTTTGAATAAATAATGCAGCTACAAGCCTCATGGTGTATGCACATTTCACATCCTGTCTGACTCGTTTCTGGGTACCACAGGAACCAGTGTAGCATTCGTCTTTTAGCAGATGGAATTCACATTAACTTATAGGGTGACACAGCATTGGTGCCAACAGGTCAGCTGTAGGCATCGGCAGCTGTGGACTCTAGTTGGCTTTATGCTCTGTACACGCAGCTTTAATTTTGTATTAGTTATCTGTATACGTTGCTGTGTTCTAAATTTTCATCATTTTGGGGGGGGAGGAGGGTGAGAGGGGGGGGAGATACTCATAGCATACATGTGGGCTGTGCCTGCCTGAAATCCATTGTAACGTCACAGTAAAAGCCAGTTCACACTTAGGGCAACTGCGAATGCAGAGTGATTTTGACATGAAACATAGGTAGCAAAAGTTGAAATGTGTTCAACATTTGCAGATTCTTAGTGCCAAGTACATGCAGGAAATTCCAGAAATTAGGGGGGCCATTTTTTTTTTCGTGTCCCTGTCACATACGTTTTGTGAGTTCAGAACACATACTCTCATTTTCAAGAGTGATGAATTAATGCAAAT